CATTTCCATCACTAAAAAGGTAGTCTTCCCACAACACGGACACTTTAAATAAATCTTCATTAATTTACCTCCCTCACCACTGGACTACCTCACCAGTATTCTTCGGCTGGCTCATCTGGGGAGCCATTAGCTCAATCTTCCACAAAAGCCTTCCCAGTCTCAACATCCTTCCCGGTAATTATCTCCTTAACTCTCCCTACTTCTTTTATTTCTCGTTCCTCAATCCCAATCCTTTTAGTTAAAGTTAAAACTTTCCTCTCTCCTCCCACTAAATAAGTCAACTTAATTACTCCACTCTCCTTCTTCACATAATCTTCCCTTGAAGTCTCTCAAAACTCGTCAAACTCAGCTAAATCAGTAATCTCATTAGTTTTGCCTTTGACTTCTAATCCCACCAAAAATAACATCACCTTCTGTAAATTATTAATTCCTCCTCGGATCCCCCAAGTTTCCGGGATACATAACTCTAAAAATCTTTCACTAATTTTGTTTCTTAACTTAGCAATTCCATAAGCACGGCAATAAATAGTTGAAATAATCCCTAAAATTTTTTTCCTTTGTTCCCAAGTTAAAAGTTCAATATTGACTGGTTCTCCCCTATCTTGCACAAACTGGGCTACTTTTTCAAGCAAATTAGCTGTTAAGAGAATAATTGCCTGACTAATATCCAAATTAAAGTTAAAATACTTATCTAAAAAAGTGTAGTTTAACTCCCGATCCATGATTTTACCAATCACATTCTCAATATCTTCTCGGCTAGCCTTTTCGAATTCATCAAGTAAAATCACAGGAGAACGGGAACGGTAAGCTTTTTTCTTGGTTTTTCTAATTGGTTTGTCTTGGGATTGTCTTCGTTGATTATCTTCTTTTCACTCTTTAATCTCTTCTTCTAAGGTTTCCATTCTCTCTTCTTCTCATTCGGTTAAAGTTTGGGGTTTTCTTGGCACTGTAATTACGGTCTGATCATCGGTTCCTTCATTGATGATTTCTTTCCGAGTCCTAATCTCTTCAATTTCCCTCTCCAAATCTTCAACCCCAACCTCAGTCAAAAAACTCCTCTCCACAAAAGCCTCCATCATTTTGCCATAATTAGCACTCTGTAAAGTAGCCCTCTTACCTTCCAACTCTCCTCCATCATCCATTCCTCCGACATTAATAATCTGAATCGGTCTTTTTAAAGCTTGGGCTAGTCTTTGGCTAATTTCCGATTTACCAACCCCAGGTTTCCCTAACAAAATATAAAAAAGCTGAGGCAACCTTACTCCCTGCTTCCGAAAATGTTCCGCTGTCTGTAAAGCTTCATGTCAAGTACTCTTAAACTCCTTAAAACCAATCACTCTCCCTTCTCAGTCCGGAGGAGTTCCCATAATTTTCTCAAATTCTGCCAAAGGAGGTCAATAAGGTTCTCGGTAAAAAGTATCTAATAAAATTTCACACAATTCTAATCGAGCTTGATCAGTTTCATCTGGGTTAGGTTTCTTTTGAATACGTTTTTTATACCGATATAACCTTTCCAAATACCAAGTTGGCATAATTGGTTGTTCTTGCTCTTGGTATAACTCATTTCACTCATCAAAAGATAAGTCTTGGTGAGGGTCTTTTTGGGCTTTTGCTTTCTTTTTCTTTTCGGGTTCTCTCTCTTCAATTAATTGCTGCCTAGTAATATAATCCAATTGAAAAGTATTAGCATTCCACCGAAACTCTCCCTGAGGCAAAAAAACATTATCAAATAAATGAGAAAAATCAGTCAAATCATCCATTTTGGTTTCTACCAGAGAAAAAGACGGTATAATCCGAGCTAATTGCTGATAAAAAACTGGTTGTTCTTGGGTGGTGATAGTCTTATCTATCGTACCGTGATCAGTTTCTTTACTATCTTCTTTAGTTTTATCAGTTTTATGGGAATAGTCTTTGTTTTTGCCTTTGGTAATTCTTTTGTTTCAGTTGGGGTTGATGATTTTGTTAGGTTTTCCCTCACTGTCTAAGATTGGATTACCCTCTTCATCTTTTTCGATGCCGATATAGCCGGTGTCAGTGTATGCTTCGGTGGATAATCAATCAGCTCGGTCTTGGAGGTGTCCATAGTCTCCATGAATTAAATCAATGGTTGAATAAGGCTTTTCTTTATTGATAATCCTTTGAGCTTCTCGGTTTTCTCCTTTTTCGAAAGTGTTATTAGTAGTAGTTCGGTCTCAGTCTCCGATGAGGGATTTGTTGGCATCTAAATATTTAGTCCGATCATCCTTGGTATATTCAGTAGTTTTGATATCAATCAACTTACTCATTTCTAATTTGAGATGCTCAAAGATATTGCTTCATAACCTTTCTCTTTTTTTGAAAGTAAAGAATTTACTAGCCATGCCCGAATAGAGTTTAGAATAAAACATTTCCGGGTAGCCTAGATATTGATTTAGTTTTCAACGATCATAAACACAGTAGGAATAAAAGCCAAAGAGGTTTTCATCTTCAGCAGAGGAGATTATTCTTTGGACACAATTGATAGCTTCATGGTGGAATTCTTCGAAGGTGGGGAATTGGTGGTAGATAGTTTTTTGGTGGGGGATTAGTTCTTGGGGCATGGTTAATAGGTTCTCCTTTCATTACGAGGGCAATAACAGTCAAATTCATTGCCTTCATAAGTATCTCTACCTGAACTAATTCGGGGACAAATTAGGTCAGCTTTGATAGCTCGGTAAGTTAAACATTCTTGGCAAATTAGGGTGATTTCTCTTGGGTCTTTGTTAGGCAGGTTTTTAATATGTCGGGGTTTTAAGTGGGATTGAGGATAAGATTTAGAACAGAATTGGCAAGGTTTGGGTTGAGATTTTACTTGTTTTTCAATGACTATCTCTTGTCCGGTTGCTTGTTTGGTGAGTTCGAGCATGTTTTCGACACATTCGGAGCAAGTTTTATTTCCTTGCTTGTCAATTAGTCGGATAAATTCTTGGTTTCATTCTTGTTGGCAGTGGAAGCAGGTGAAGAGTTGCTCTTTGGCTTGATTTTTGCTTGGGGTTTTTAGTTCGGTGATAGTTTGATTAAGAGACTTGTTTTTGGCTTGTAATTCTCGGATTTTTTGGTTAGCTTCAATGAGGACTTGCTCGGCTGCTTGGCTGACTGTTTCAGGTTGTATCTTTTTAAGTTCTTTAATTTCCTCTTGGGCTTGGTCTAATTCAGCCATGGTTCTCTGTAAGTTAGTCAGGTGAGTTTGAGCTGTTTGGCTTCAATGCTCGACTTCTTTTTTTAAGTCTTTTATTTTATCTTTGCCTTGGTTTTTTACCGGGCTTTTCGGACGGATTGTCTCCTTCTCACTTTCATAGCCTTCGTCAATTAGGACTTGGTTTTTCTTTAACTCACTCGGTTTAATTCCGGGTTTGATTTTTTTTAAAAGTTTTAATTGGTCTTTAGTCATGCTTCCTCCTCTCTAACTCGCTAACTTTGGCTTGCAATTCAGCAATATCTCTTTTTTCTTTACCATTGACTCGTTCAACTTCAGCTAATTCTTTCCGAATGGCTTGGTTTTCTTTTTTTAGTTTAAGTTGGTCTTTTCTCATGGTAATAGTGTAGCCAGCAAAGATAGCTACCGTAAGCACGTTAACAGCTAAGGCTGCCAAGACCACTTTTCCTAAAAATAAAGCAATTTCACAGCATCCTATCATATTATCCCCCAATCCTCCCAAACTTAAATTGATAGTGGGCTTTGTTGTCTTCAAAGATCCGGTTATAATCCCGGATACTTTTCCATAACAATCGGTAAATTTTTTTCTCTTGAGCATCAAAATTAGCCTGACTAGAAAAAACTTCCGAGACCGAGGCTCTTTCTTCCTTATTCTCTAAAGTATCATGCCTAATCCCATAAGCCCTCTCCATATTCGTCCAATGGAAAGCAAACTGCTTCCGATATTTCTCTTCTTGAAACTCTTTGGGTTCATAGACTTGAAACTTGACAGCATTCGGATTAATGCCTTGTTTTCCTTCGGCAATCTCTTTGGAATCTGGGTTAGCTGATTTGTCTCAGGTAATCAGGGTGATTATGCCATTAGTGAAAGACTTTAATCACTTGGCAACATCTGCTTCATGAGGAGTTTCAGAAGAAAAGAAAATGAGCCTCTTTTCATTCATGAACATTTCTTTTTCCATTTTTTGGAGGATGTTAGTGAGTTTTTTGGTTCAGAATTCTAAGCCAGTGAGGTGGGCTGTGCCTGAGGAGTTAAATTTAAAGATTACTCATTTAGTGAGGTCTTTTGAGTTATATTTAAGGTTGCTATTTTCTAGCAAGGTGAATTCATACTCAATGACCGGTTCAATGGGTTCATTTTGGTTTTCTCCGGGGACCTTTTCTTTAAGCAGACTTTGAGTGAGTTTTTTGGGAATAGCTAAGTATTTATTTCCCGCGGTAGGTTCGATGAGAGCTATTTCTCCTTTATTGATGGCTTCTTCAACAATCTCGTCAAAATACTCCGTTAAAGTTCCTTCTCCGGTCAAGTGAGCTGAACCGATCAGGCAATTGACGAGATATTTCTTGGTCAGATTAGTAAAAGTCTCATAAGAAGTTTCGAGGTTGGAGAAGTCGAACATTTCTTTGGTGATGGTGCCGTTTCAGGTATTAGACATGAATTACCTCCTTAATTAAGGCTATTTCTTGGTTAATTAGAGATTTTTCTTGATTGAGATAGTTTTGCTGGATTTGTGTGGCTTGGGTAAGTTGGCTAATTAAGTCTGATTTATCGGCTTCGAGAGCGAGAATTCTTTGTTGGGAATCTTGGAGTTGGTTTTGGAGGGCTTGGATATTCTGCTTATAAGTATGGATATCTTTTAAGAGACCTTGGTTATCGGATTGGAGTTTTTGATTGAGTTCTTGGGTTTCTTGGAGTTGAGTTTGTTGGGTTTGATTAGTTTGGGT